TGTGCCTCTTAGTCAAGTAGATACAAGAGACCAAAGGGGCGGCTTCTGTCCAGAGGTGAGATGGGAAGGCAGAGAGAGTTAGGAGCTGGTTGAATGTTCATGGGAGTCAGGGGCGGAGGGGAGGAGTGCGCTCTCTCAGAATGGGGTGAGCGGTTGGGGTCTCATAACAAAGTGTGTAAAAAAAAAAAATTCTATATGGGAGACTAACTTGAAATGTAAACTTCATTTAATTACAACAATTAAAAAAAAATGGGTGGTGGTGGGGAAAGGTATCAAGAATGACCCCTAGGTTTCTGGATTGTACACCTGGATGAATGGAGTGCTATTCATGGAGGCAGGATGTCCCGGAACAGGAGTAGGTGTTGGGTGACAATTATGTGTTAAATTTTGAACATGTTAAAATAGAGGTATCTTTGAGACCTCTGAGTGAAAGCATCAGGTATTCAGTTGGGTATGTGTATCTGGAACACAGAGGAGTGGTTAGGGCCAGGGCTCTGTGTTTGGGAGTTAATTTAGGCTAGTCCTTTGATCTTCAAATCCAGCCTGAAATCTCAGATGCAATGAGTCTAGTTTCTTCCCCTAAATCTACAGCCTAACAGGTCTAGAATATAGCCCTAGAAAAAAACGACACCAAAAGAAAAAAGTGTCATAGACCATTTGCTTTGTAGTATATGAACACTTTACAGCTTATATTTAACCTACAAAGTACTTTACCTATTACAAAGTATTTTGCAGGTTACAAAGTGCTTATGTTCCTGCAGTCTCAGTTAATTCTCTCAACAATGTTGTGGGTAGCCTGGCCCCCGTTCTCTCTAGCCCATCCCCTGGGTCTTCCCATACACCCATATCCTTGACCCTGGCCTCCCAAAATTCCTCCCTACCACAGGGCCAGTGTCTCTCATTACCACATCATGCTTCAGTCAGAGCATCTCCAGGATAATTTTGTCCACATTGTATTTGGCCTCCACGAGAGAGTGGGCCTTCTGGACGTCAGCCATGGCCAAGACTTAATCCACAACAGGCTGCACCTGTACAGCACTCCCAGTGGAGAGGTGAGATAAGACTTACTCCATGAAAGTCTTCACCTGTGTTTCCTTATACTGAGACGGGGGGACAACAGCCCATTAAGAGGGTATGGATTAGTTACCAGGGGTGGGAAGGAGGGGGGAAAAGGGGGTTATTGCTTACACAGTACTAAGTTTCTGTTTACAGTGATGGAAAAATTGCATGGATTAAGGGTAGGGTTACACAGCCAATTAATGTAATTGCTAGCAAAAAGTTGCAGTTTTGTAAAAAGCTGAACTGGACAAAGTTTTGTGATATATTTATAACAATGACACACATACATACAAAACGAATAGCTACTGAGGCCACTTATGTACAACCAAACACCTCATGGAATTTGGTTCCTTGATTTGGAGGTTTAGGGTCATGGTTTCATGGGACATCCCAGTTAATTGGCCTAATAACATGTTTAGTGCTTCTGTTTTACCTCCCAGTTTGTTGCGTAGTGCCTGGGGTCTTAAAAGCTTGCAAGCAGCCATCCAAGGCACAACAATTAGTCTCTATTTGCCTGGAGCAACAGAGGAAGAAGGAGAATCATGAGTAGGAGGAGGAAATGGAATGTGTGGCTAATTACCTTCATGAACAACTGCTCCCTTTGCCATGAGACCAAAAAAACTGGATGGTGCCCGGCTACCATTACTGAACATTTTGATCAAAGATTTTATAGAAGAATCCTGATTAAAAGGGGGAAAATGCAAAACAGAATTTCAAATTCTCATGGAATCCAAATTTTCTGGAGCCGTGAAGGCTGGATGAACCCTTTAAACTACTGCCCTGAGATAATCTTTAAACCTTAAACCAAAAATACTCCCTGAACTCTTCTGAAAACCAAACAGTAGTTTAGCTTATCTAGCAAAGAATGTCCACCTTGAGCATTGTGCTCTTTTAAGATCTATCTGTATTGGATCAAATTGACAACAGCAACTCTAAAGATTAAATGAGAACCTCAGGAGGCAGTGAGTTTATGTTAATGCGAGAGGAACAACTCAGAAAAGGAGGGTGAGAATGGTTGCACAACTCAAAGAATGTAATCAATGTCACTGAATTGTACATGTGGAAACTGTTGAATTGGTGTACGTTTTGCTGTGTATATTCTCAGCAACAACAACAAAAAAATAAAATTAATATAAAAAAGAGAGGGTATGGATGAGGTCCCCTTGGCCTCAAGCAACTTTGAGGGGTCCTTAAAGTGACAGAGGGGAAAATCAGACCATGCCTCGTTGGCCCTTGTGCCAACTCTGGCCCAAGGAGGTTGGATAGAACCATGAAGGAGGAAAGAGCATCAGTCTAAATTCCCTTGGGCACTAGAACCCCTGGATTCTGAAAGCATGGGAATTCCAATATTAATCTAGGACCTGGCAGAGAGGAGGAATAAGTCAGAGTCAAATGAGAAAATAGATGAAGGGACTGAGTTGTCTGACAGAGTGTGGGTTAGGATGAGCCTTAGCATCCCATCCAGAGGAGGGGAAGTTGGCTATGTCAGGAAAGGGTGATAAGCAGGAACCATATAAACCAAGGCAGGTGCGGTGCAGTGAATTACTTAATATGGCCCTTCCAGTGATTGGGTGGGACTATGCAAATAATGTGCTTGTGACCTACCAAGGGGATTGAACAGCTTGCTACTAATGCAAATAAGGTGCATGGAACCCTGCGGGGGTGGTACCATACAAATAAGGTGTATGGAAACCTAACGAGGGGATTGATCAGTTTTGCCATCCCGCCAGGCTTAAAAGAGAGCCAATCTCAGAGCAGGGGTGGACCTGACTACCACCAAGAAGAAGAGATGGGAGCAGAGTGCACTCTTTGGACCCAGGATCCCTGTGCTGAGACCCTCCTAGACTCAGGAGACAGAGAGAGAGACCTGTAACACCAAAGATGGCAAGATGGTGAGAAGTATATTCCTAGAAATGAGGCAGCAGAACCAGAAGACCTGCAAGAGACAGTGTGGTGAGCTTCCTGGCCCACGGGTGAGAAAGCTTAGTGCCTTTGGGCTGGAGGCTTGCTGGCGAAGTGGGTGCCTCTGGGAAATTACTGGCGAAGCTAAAAAGCTTTGTAACACTTGCCGGAGAAGGGCAGATGCTGGGCTGAGGGGCCGAGGGCCAGAGAGAGGCCCGGGTGTGGGCACGGCTGAGAACAGGCTGTCCTGATCAAAGAACTGTATCCTAAGCATTCCTGAACCTGAACTGTAACCTGTTACTTTCCTAATAAACCCCATAACTCTAAGTATGGTCTGTGAGTTCTGTGTGGCCATTGCAATGAATTATCGAACCGAGCAGAGGAGTAAAGAGTGCCGTGGGAGGGACGGTTCTTGTCAGAAATGGTGAAAAGTTTGGAGGGAGGAGGCATGTCTGACCTCTACCTCATAGGAATCAGCCTTGGGCTGTTGATCTTGATTCTCCTTCCCCCTCCTGAAGTTAGACGAGGTTGGATGTCCCCACCACACCATTTTTACAGCAGGTCCGGGTCAGGTGGTCATAATACAAGGGCAGTGCCCAGAACCTGTTCACTCTGCCCTTGTCTATAACCTACCTTCTTGTCCCTGGACTTCAGCAGACTAGCCTTTAATCTTCCTTTCTTATACAACAGCTTGGAAAGCAGAGGTCCATTGACTTTTGCTCCCCCAATGAGGCCACACAGAACCCATCGACCATCTGTAGCCAAACAGTGGAAGTTCTTCTCCCAGTAAGAGCCACCAATGCTGTCCAGGATCACATTGACACCCACACCTGGAAGAGGAAAGCATCAGTCATAGGTAGAAATGGCTAGTTATCCTGGGAAGCCGATGCCTAAACTCCTCCCCTCTGGATCTAGTCTTGCCCGATCTCCTGTGGGCCCGGAGACCAAGTGGGAAGGAAAGTCATTCCCTGAGAGAGTAGGTGCACTTAGTTGTCATAGAAAGTCAGGGAAGAAGTGCTAAAGCATTCAGTTTTCAGAAAAAGTCAAGCTAAAGAGCTGTGTCTCATGGTGGTTATGAATATAGACTGACCAGGCCTTGAGTACTTGCCCTGGAGTGGATGCCATTGTTCTGCCCTGAGAAGTTAGTATGCTTCCTTCTTTTTGATAGTTAAAGCTGTGTAATTGATCTTTTTTTTTTTTTTTTTCCTTCTCTGTCTCTCTTTTTGGCAGGGGTATCCAGGAAGCCAGGAAGCTTAAAATCATACATAATATTTGACCACAGTTATATTAACCTTTATGATTAGCATATTTTCTTTCTCCTCCTTTCCTTGGTTCATACTCTCTATTTCTAACTAATTGTTCTTTCATCCTGAATGGTTATACCACCTCCAGGCTTTTGAAAGATGCAGTAGAGAGAGGATTTGGAAGAAGAAAGAAGGGAGAGTTAGGAATGGCAGGGAAAGGGACATGTGGTAGCCCCCCTAATGATCTCTACCTTCTAGTATTTATACCTTTGAATGTGGGCTGGGCTTATAGTCTCACTTCTTGCCAGAAGTAATAGGATGCCACTTCCAAGATTAGGTTACAAAAAGACTGTGGCTTCTGTCTTGGGTGCCTTCTCCCATTCTTGCTTACTTGCTCTCAGGGAAGCTGGGTGGGAGGCAGGGCGGCATGTTGCGAGCTGCCCTATCAAGAGGTTCATATGACAAGTAACTGATGTCTCTGGCCAACAGCCAGCAAGGGCCTGAAGTCTTCCAACAGCCACAGGAGTGAGCTTGGAAGCAGAAACTCTCCCAGCCGAGCCTTGAGGTGACTGGAGCCCTGGCTGACAGCTTGATTGCTGCTGGTGAGAGACCCTGAGCTGGAAGACCCAGCTAAGCTGCTCACAGATTCCTGACCCACAGAAACTGTGAGATAATAAATGTTTGTTGCTTTAAGGCACTAAGTTTTGGAGTAACCTGTTAGGCAGCAATAGATAACTAATACAGACGAGGAAGGATGAGGAAAAGTTTATAAAAGAGGAGGAAGTAGGAGAAGAAGAGTTAAGCTGAGGAGTAAGGATCAGTTTGGCCTCTCCTTCAAACACACAAACACACATACATACTCTGGGTGGCCTTCAGAGCCTCCTCAGAGAAGTCCTCCTTCTTATAATCAAACCCAGTTGCAGCACCCAGTTTTTGAGCCATTTGAATATTCTTCTTGGAGCTCTTGGTCACCAGGGAAATGGCTTTCAACAGCCTGGTCAACTGAATGGCAGCTGTGCCCACGCCTCCTGTGCCAGCATGGATGAGCACTGTCTTTCCCTCTTGCACACCTCCTGTGGCAACAATCCAAGTTAGAAGATCCTGGGTAAGCAAAGGTGGGGAGGGTGGGGAGGTGTAGGGTTGACTTTGAAACATAAACCACCTAGTGCTGGAGCGTAGAGCACTGAGGGTTGATGAGAGAGAAGTCTGGAGGGTTAGGTAGGGCCTGGGTCACAGAGGGCACTGAATGTGAGGAGCCATCAAAGCTTTTGGGACAGAGGGAGCCTTGATCAGAGCTGTGCTTCCACAGGATTAATCCAGCAGATGAACTGGAGTGGGCAGAGTATCAGAACTAGCCTGAGGGGGGCTCCAGGGACAGAGACAGTCCCTGGAACAGATGTCTGGGCAGCTCTGATCCCTTTTTGTATAAGATGAATGGAAAAGGGGTGTCTCCTCCACTGGCTGCGAGGGATCCAAGCAGAAGGAAAGGACAATTTCCTCTCCTCTGGAGATGGGGACAAGCAGCTGGAACTGCTCTGAGAACCCTGGTTCTGCCTCACATTGGTCATAAAACTCTGTCTGTAGTTGTCTCCACAGGGGACGGGTCTGAGTCAGCACTGGGATTAAAGGCTGAGGTTATGATTAGAGGCCAGGACGTGTTGGGGGTCAAGGAGGAGCTCAGAAATAAGGGTTGGGTCTGTTGGAGGCCTGGGTTGGGTTCAGCATTTGGCTTCAGGTGATATGTATGGTAGGAGGGGATTAGGAGGAAGTAGGGCACCTCCTCACCTACACAGTGCAGCAGCTGGAAGGCTATGGTCCAGGCCTCTGGGATGGCCGCAGCCTGGGGCAGGGACAGTCCTGCTGGGATAGGCATGAGGAGCCCTTTGGGGACAGTGACATACTGAGGCTGGCCCCCGCCGGGCAGCAGAGCCATGGCTGAGTCTCCAGGCTTCCAGTGCCCCTGACATCTGGGACCCAGCTCAGCTACATGTCCAGATGCCTTGAGTCCCAAAATATGCTGGCTTCTGGCGGTGGGGCATACTGGCCTTGTTTCTGCAGAGAGAGGTAAGTGGGTTTGATAAGAGGGCTCACACGGCAGCCCTCCTTGCTGCTGGAGGGAGAACGTGATGCTAGCCTGGAAACCATTCTTTGTTTTCTAGAATGGGGGAAAATTCAGATGGTCTTTCCAAAGGATTGCTCTGATAACAGTCATTCCAGAAACAGCTATTCCACAGGATCTTTTCAGAGATGCCCACTCAGAATAATCACTCTAGAGAGAAGCCCTCCAGGAGGTCTCCCCAGTAACTCTCTCAGGCAGGCTGTCAGGAAGCTGGGTCAGGGTGGTGGGAGGAGGTAGGTGGGGGTGGTGGTTTGCTGAGTTCTGAAGCCCTGAAAGGTGGACCTGGTGAGGGGATACTCCTGCCATCTCAGATCTTATTTTTCCTGCTCTCAACTTAGCTTCCATAAGAAGGTGGCTATTGTGGGGTCAGAAATGGCTGGAAACTGGATCTTGAAAGAGGAATATCCTGCAAACTGGCTCTCTGATCCCCTTCTCCCTGGGGGAAGGTGAAGCAGGAAAGATGTTGGTCTGGCTCTGGGGCTCATGGATCCAGACCACATCTTGCAGGGGAATGAGTGGATCCAGACAACGTCTTGCAGGGGAATGAGCTCAGTCCCTGCTTGCTGGTTGCACACATTGCTGCTTGACAGGACCCAGGACCTGGATCAGAATAGGGTCCAAGCAAAGGGTAAGGCCACGGCTGTGACTTGTGACCTCACACTGGCTTGAGGGCACTTGTTCCAATGTGCAGGTCAATCCCCTCCTTCCTGACAGTGGCTGTCCAGACTTTGGAGTCAAACAGATGTGGGTTCAAATTCTGCCTCTGCCATTTATTCAGTCATACAACAAATATTTCCTGCGTGTCTACTGTGTGTCAGGCCCAGTGCTAGCAAAACAGAGTGCCTTTGTCCTGGAGGAGGTTACAGTCTAGTGTGGGAAGACAGACTTTAAATAAGTAAACAAATAAATATAATAATGCACATTGGAGCAAGTTCTGAGAATAATAACAACAGGCTGCTATGAGAGAGACGAGCAGGAGGGTCTCTTTTAGACTTCATAGCCAGCGAACCTGTCTGAGGAGGTACAATTTAAGCTGAGACGTGAAAGACAAGAAGGAGCCAGACATACAAAGAATGGCTGAAGAGCATTCCAGGGAGAGGGAGAGGCCAGAGCAAAGGGTCTGAGGCAGGAGAAAGTGTGCAACGGGTGGAAGGTAGTGAGCAAGGGAGAGAAGGGCTCCAGCTGAGATGGAGGTGTCAACAGCCACATCAGCAGAGCCTTGTAGGCTGGGTAGGCAATTTAGATTTTATCCCAAGTACATTGGGATCTCTTTGTAGATCACCCTGGCTGCTATGTGGAGAATGGACTGTAGGGGGCGTTGCAGGTACCCAGGGTAAAAGCTGATACTGGCCTGGACTTGGATAGTGTCAAGAACAGTGATGGAGAGAAGCAGAGGAACTCATGATCTACTGTGGAGGCGGAACAAAGGATGCTCATGAAATGGATGCAGGGTTGAGGGAAACAGGAAGTAAGATGTTGAAAATGAATTCCAAGTTTCTGACTTGAGCAGCTTACTGGCAATTATTCTGATGAAAGAATTATATCATCACAACAGTGGAGACAAAATACCCATCTCCTTGGATGGTTGTTAAATGAAAGAATTCACTTAGTACCGTGCCAGGCACACAGTGGGCACTAAATAAACTACAGTTTCTTTCTTGCTAGTGTATATGTAGACTCCCTCAGTGCAGCCCTCAAGGGTGGGGCTGTATAAGGAGGGGTCCATGGCCAGCTTGGTGGGGACATGAGTTGTAAATGCTGGAATCTCTCCAGAGTCTGATACAGATGCTGAGAACCCAAACCAAACGTCCAGCTCCGGTCGCCCAGCCCATGCCAGCTAACTTCAGACCTGGCTGAGTTTCAGTTCTTGATCAAGCAGCTCTGCCAAGGGGCAGGCTCTGGGTCTCTCCTACCCTACTGTGGTGCGTACCTGGAGTAAGTCCGCCCAGTTCAGGGTGCTGGCTGCCACCTTGAGAAGGACTTCACTCTCTCCTGGGCTTGGCTTGTCCACCTTCTTTAGGTAAAGGTTTTCTGGTCCTCCTGGCTTGTCAAAGTGCATGGCTGACATTTTATCTGAGGACACAAGTGTAGAGAGATGGAGGAAAGGCATGAAAGCTGGGGCAGGTTTGCAAGGAACTTCCTTCCCCAAATCAGGATCCATCTGAGCCCTGGTGGCGCAGTGGTTAAGAGCTCAACTGCTAACGAAAAGGTCGGCAGTTCGAATCCACCAGCCGCTCCTCGGAAGCCCTGTGGAGCCATTCTATTCTGTCCTATAGGGTCACTATGAGTCGGAATCTACTTGATGGCAACGAGTTTTGGTTTTTAATCCATGCCTCTCCTAGACACCACTGGCCTCCACCAGCCCATCACCTCACCACCATGAACTTAGGCAGTTCTCACTGCCTATGTGACTTCCCTATCTAAATTCCCAGATATTGCTGCCTCCTGAGCCTTCTCTTTCCATGAAGAGGGACTAGAGCAGCTGGCTTTGGAATTAACATATGGAAATGCAAGTCCAGGTTTTATCATTCACTAGCTGTATGACCTTAGGCAAAAATGGGGCTAAAACATTACATACTGTATCCTGCAGGCGCCCCCCTCAGTTCTTCAGGGATGTAGCCTGCCTCCTTGGAGAATAGGGGAGATGGTGGTTCTTTGAGGACAAGGTAGGCTGAGGAGGGAGGGGAGCCATACCTGGAGCCATCCTGCCAGGTCAGTGCGGGGATGCCTGGGACCCCTCACCTCCTGCCTTAGGTACAGCCTGCTGCTGCAGGCGCAGCTCAGAGAGGACTATTTATGTTCTGAGCTGAAGGGATTGGCCTGCCCATTGCCTGGGATGTGGGTGTACTCTGTTTTTCGTTTTTAAATTTTCATTATCAAAGTGATAGAATAATGTTACACAAGTTTGATCCTTAAGTTAAACAACCCATCTTCCACCTCCCAAACAAAGGCCATGATGACTTGTTTTCTCTCCTGCACAGGAGCTGACAGGGTCGTAGCCCTTACATGCGTTTATCTCTGGATGCTGCCTCTCTCCCAGGCAGGGGTGGTGAAAGAACCTCACCTTTTTCTTTTGACTCCAACACTGAAGGGCAGATACTCAAGTCTGGGAAGAAGGAGTGAGCATCCTACGTGCAGCTCTGTACCAGCCCTGTGGTGGGCAGAGAGGGGGCAATACAGCTTATGGGGGGAGGGTGAAGAAAGTGAAGGGACAAGGAGGCCAAGGGACCCTAGGGATGACCCTAAAGGCTGTGGGTATTTGATAGAGGAGAGTTCCTCAGGCTGGGGGACGGGTCACAATGCATGGACATGGCTACTCTCACTTGAGCCTCAAAACACCCCCAAAGAGGCAGGCAGGGCAGGCATTATGAGCTCCATTTTCAGATGGGGAAACTGAGATGCAGAGATTCTGTGTTTAGGATCACAGAGCTAGTATAGGGCAGAGCAGACACTGGAACCCAGGACTCCTGAGTTAGATTCCACAGGAGAGGCTGTCTCCTCACTATTCACACCAGAAGGCTTCACTGAAAGAGGAAGAGAAAGGGCAACAAGTGGAGAGAAGGAAGGAGCAGAGGAAATAGTTGGGCCTGACAGCAGGAGGGAAAGTGGGGAGTTTATGGGGTTTCCTTTTGTGCTGCACAGATTTCCTTGATCTCTGAGTGCACTGACCCCCAAAGGGTCAGCAAATAGGTCTGTTGGAAGCCCCACAAAACAGTTTCCTTTGTTTAAAACAAAGCATCCCCTGCTCCAATCTCCTTTCTTCAAGATACAAATCTGAGGGTTGGGTGGTAAATTTCAAATGATGGTTGCAGTGGCTGTATTCCACAGTTCCCCACATCTCTCACCTCTAAAGAGTCTCCCCCAAAGGTTCCCTTTCTAGCAGAACAGTGTCTTCTGTGTTAGGAACAGGCTGGAGGCATGTGTCCCAGAAACCCAGCAAATCTGGGGCTGCAGTTGATGCTGCTCATCCTAATAGTTAAATGGGGCTTGGGGGCATTGTCCCTCCCAGATGTCCAATGGACTCCAGCCCCTCCAAAGGGTTCGGCACAGTTATGCTGAGTCACCTTGAGGCAGCAACTTCTCCAGTTCCCAAGCCCTAGCTTGAGCATCCCAGCAGCTCAGTGGTGACTCATGGTTCTGGAACGGCATAGAGATTGACACCTTTCCCTGAAGGAACAGGAACAGTTCACCTCTTGGAACCATGCCAGCTTCCATGCCTGCAAGGACTTTCTCTGGGTCCCTCCTCTGTCTCTCCATGGGCATGCCACCCGGAGGCTGGTGAGGCAATCCCAGAGGTGGGGACGTAGGATGGCTCTGTGGGAGGGGAGGGGTTGGAATCAGCTTGATAGGGAACCCTCTGTGCCCTCCTATTTTCTGTGGGCTGCATGTTTGGCTACTAGCCACTGCCATCCTCCTGGGCACCCATTCACTATGGCTCAGGGACCAAGGCGTCTTTTCTTACTTCAGGGCAGTGGACTTCACATTCTTCTATCTCAAAGTAACAAAAGGCATTTTGAAAAACTATGTTTCCCCTTTCACATTTTTAAGTTGATATTTAAAGTTTTTCAACCTAAGTTTAAATAGTTGGAAAAAATACGATTTCTGGTCATCTATAGTGGCATTTTTAACCCTTACATCAGGCTTTTAAATGTACCAAGTGACTCAGGACTTCATCCACTAAAAAATACCCAGGCAACTCTTCTTTAACAGTTGGAAGTTTTACAACTTCATTTTTCTGTTAGTACTCATATTTTCATCCTACTTTTCTCATACAATTATATCCTGATATATGTTATGCTTTATTGATCATGCTGCCATTCTTCTCTGCAACATAAAAATATGTACGTAACCTGAAATTAATTAGAAAAATTATTTTCTGTGGCCACAGGGCTCTAAATGTTAAATTTCTTCTGGAGTTAGTTATCATTAGAGTATTACTAGTCCACAACTGATCAGAGCAATATGTATTATTTTAAATATTGGTAAATGATTGTTGTTGTTGTTATTATTAGGTGCCATCAAGTCAGTTCCGACTCATAGCAACCCCATGTGCAATAGAACAAAACGATGCCCAGTCCTGCATGACCCTCACAATTATTATGCTTGAGCCCATTGTTGCAGCCACTGTGACAATCCATCTCATTGAGGGTCTTCCTCTTTTTTGCTGACCCTCTACTTTACCAACCATGATGTCCTTCTCCAGGGACTGGTCCCTCCTGATAACATGTCCAAAGTACACAAGACATAGTCCTGCCATCCTTGCTTCTAAGGAGCGTTCTGGTTGTACTTCTTCCAAGACAGATTTGTTCATTCTTTTGGCAGTCCATGGTATAGTCAATATTCTTCACCAACACCACAATTCAAAGGCATCAATTCTTCTTCGGTCTTCCTTATTCATTTTCCAGCTTTCACCTGCATATGAAGCAATTGAAAATACCATAGCTTGGGTCAGGTGCACCTTAGTCTTCAGGGTGACGTCTTTGCTTTTCAACATTTTAAAGAGGTCTTTCGCAGCAGATTTGCCCAACGCAATGCATCTTTTGATTTCTTGACTGCTGCTTCCATGGGTGCTGATCGTGGATCCAAGTAAAATGAAATCCTTGAACGCTTCTATCTTTTCTCCGTTTATCACGATGCTGCTTATTGTTCCATTTGTGAGGATTTTTGTCTTCTTTATGTTGAGGTGTAATCCATACTGAAGGCTGCGGTCTTTGATCTTCATCAGTAAGTGATTCAAGTCCTCTTCACTTTCAGTAAGCAAGGTTGTGTCATCTGCATAACGCAGGTTGTTAACGAGTCTTCCTCCAATCCTGATGCCCTGTTCTTCTTCATATAGTCCAGTTTCTTGGATTATTTGCTCAGCATACAGGTTGAATAGGTATGCTGAAAGGATACAACCCTGATGCACACCTTTCCTGACTTCAAACCATGCATATTCCCTTGTTCTGTTCGAATGACTACCTCTTGATCTATGTACAGGTTCCTCATGAGCACAATTAAGGGTTCTGGAATTCCCGTTCTTCTCAATGTTATCAATAATTTGTTATGATCCACACAGTCGAATGCCTTTGAATAGTCAATAGAACACAGGTAAACATCTTTCTGGTATTCTCTGCTTTCAGCCAGGATCCATCTGACATCAGCAAAGTCCCTGATTCCACGTCCTCTTCTGAATCTGGCCTGAATTTCTGGCAGTTCCCTGTCGACGTACTGCTGCAGCCACTTTTGAATGATCTTCAGCAAAATTTTACTTGCGTGTGATATTAATGATATTGTTTAATAATTTCTGCATTCGGTTGGATCACCTTTCCCTGGAATAGGCATAAATATGAATCTTTTCTGGTCGGTTGGCCAGGTAGCTGTCTTCCAAATTTCTTGGCATAGATGAGTGAGCACTTCCAGTGCTGCATCCGTTTGTTGAAACATCTCAATTGATATCCCGTAATTCTTGGAGCCTTGTTTTTCGCCAATGCCTTCAGTGCAGCTTGGACTTCTTCCTTCAGTACCATCGGTTCCTGATCATATGCTACCTCCTGAAATGGTTGAACGTAGACCAATTCTTTTTGGCATAATACTCTGGGTATTCCTTCCATCTTCTTTTGATGCTTCCTGTATTGTTTAATATTTTCTCCATAGAATCCTTCACTACCGCAACTTTAGGCTTGAATTTTTTCTTCAGTTCTTTCAGCTTGAGAAATGCCGAGCGTGTTCTTCCCTTTTGGTTTTCTATTTCCAGCTCTTTGCACATGTCTTTTTAATACTTTACTTTGTCTTCTCGAGCCGCCCTTTGAAATCTTCCGTTCAGTTCTTTTACTTCATCGTTTCTTCCTTTTGCTTTAGCTACTTGCTGTTCAACAGCAAGTTTCAGAGTCTCTTCTGACATCCCTTTTGGTCTTTTCTTTCTTTCCTGTCTTTTAATGACCTCTTGCTTTCTTCATGTATGATGTCCTTGATATCATTCCACAACTCGTCTGGTCTTTGGTCATTAGTGTTCAACGCATCAAATCTGTTCTTGAGATGGTGTCTAAATTTAAGTGGGACATACCCAAGGTTGTACTTTGGCTCTCG